GTCTCAATGTCTTTTCCCTGGATGTTCATCAGTGCTGTGGGGGGTGACTTCCTCCTAAGGTCTATGACCATCTCGTTCATCTTGCTGGCATTGATTTGGAGAGCGCTGGTCTCACACCAGCCAACAAAGTCACTGATGACCCCCCCTGTATTCCTCATCATTCCCGTCGGATATGCATCCAATGATGGCCGTATCATCCGAGAACTTTTGAAGGTGGCAGTGGTCCGAGATATACCTGAAGTCTGACGAGTATAAACTGAACAGAAAGGGTGAGAGGACCGTGCCCCGTGGTGCCCTCGTGCTGCAGACTAACACATCAGAGACACAGTCAAGGAGCCTCACATACTGTGGTCTGTTGATGAGGTAGTCGATGGCCCAGACTGTCAGCTGCTTGTCCACTCCGACTCCTTCCAGCTTCCCTCTCAGCAGAGCAGGCTGGATAGTGTTGAAAGCACTGGATAAGCAAAAAACATGACTCTCACAGTGTTTCGTGCTTGCTCTAGGTGAGAGAGACATTGGTGCTGCAGGTAGATGACAGAGTCCTCCACCCCGATGCTGGGCTGCTAGGTGAACTGCAGGGAGTCCAGTGCTGGGCTCACCATAGGACGAAGATGGTGCAGGATGAGCCTCTCCATGGTCTTCATCAGATGAGAAGTCAGAGCCACCGGTCTGTAGTGGTTGGGCTCCCTGGGATGTGTGATCTTTGGCACTGGAACCAYGCAGGAAGTCTTCCACAGATCAGGGACCCTCTCCAGACTCAGGCTCAGGTTGAAGATGTGCAGGACCACTGGACAGAGCTGGTCTGCATAACCAGACATAACCAGATCATTGTTGGAGGCCAGGAAAAGATTCACAGAATTTTAACTAGATCATTGTTGGAAGCCGGGATAAGATTCAGTGAATTTTAACTAGATCATTGTTGGAAGCCGGGAAAAGATTCAGCGAATTTTAACTAGATCATCATTCCAGTCTAGTGGTGGTGACAATGCACTTAAAATTAGTCTGCCAAGCACCCATAAAACCAAAAGAAGAAGAATGTCAACCAAGCAAGCTGGCGAGGGTCTGATGTACATAAGCCTCCTTCAATTCACGTGTTTTCTTCTCCTAAAAATGATAGCTTGTTGTAGCTCTACTATAATTTTTAGCAGTACAAATGCCAAAAACAGTGACCGGTATCGTCATTTTGGGTTTCCCAGTTACTCGTCCCAATTCTCCAATTTTTGCACTCTTCTAACCTGTGCACTCGATTATGTGCACTTCAACTGAGTACACAATTCATAGAAGGGCGTAGGGTCTAGTGCAAGTATAAGAACAGGGCCCATATCAGTTGTAGTGGTTCAGCCAATAATTACTTTCTGGGAATTCAATGAAAATTTGTCATTTTTGTTCATTAATTTTTTTTACGAACAAACAAAACAAGGTTGACTTTAGAAGTTAATGCTAAGATTTCAGGTAAAGATATTGTCTGTTGTGCTCAAAGAATGCGTTGAGAATCTGCTCAGCTACTACCATACCAGATTTTAGCTCAATACCTCCAATTGTTAGGGTTAGGGGTAAGGGTAGGGTTAGGTTCTGAGTTGTGTTTTTKAAGGTCATTTGGCTGTGGCAGCCATCTTTATTTGTGTTGCTTCCAGATGTTCGTCAGCTGATGGAAACATCCTGTGATTACTTTGCAAGAGTTTCATTAAAATCATTGCTGTGGGTCATGGGACATTTTGCTACAGTCCCAGAAAAACACACACGCACACAAATGTGCACAAATGTGCAAAAACATTATTGTTACTTCTCCACTGGCTGCAATGAGGAAATAAGGATCTTCTTTAGGCAACGAAAACTAAACGTAATTTCAAAGCAATAGACAGTTTGGGTCTTTTTGAGGACTCGAAAGGTTTATTTTTGAGATTGACTGCGAGACGTGTAGCTGCTATTTTCGAGAAAGCGTGCCTCTTTGATTGTGACTCCCACATCYATCCACAGCTGGCCGGTCAGACTCTCGACAGCTGTACCGCAACAAATCACCAACAGAGGTCAAGTCTYGAAAAGGGAGATGAAACAAAACATCATCAGCCGCTCTGGAACACAATATTCTGGCATGCACAAGTGAAAACAATATTTTTTCTTATCATTATTCTTGAAGCCCAAGCC